GGAGCGGCGCGGCCGGGCCCCGCCGCCCCGCGGCCGCGCTGGGCTGGGGGGCAGCGCCGCGGAGCTGAGCGGGGTTATCGCGCTTCCCAGCAAAAGTTTGGATGGGCGAGAGCTGCGAAAAGCCACAGCGAGCTTGTTCATGCTCTGGCCCGAAACACCGACGATTAATAACAGCTCACTGTCGCTTTTGCTCCAATAGCTACACGTGCGCTGCGTCTCCGGTAAAAATAAAATAAATATAAATAAATAAAATAAATAAATAATATTAATAATAAACGAAAAGCACCAAATCTGAGAGTTACCTGCCGGGACGCCGCAATATTTTAATATTTTTGGAGCCGGGCGCAGGCTCGGGAGCGGCGCGGCCGGTCCCCGCCGCTCCGCGGCCGCGCTGGGCTGGGGGGCAGCGCCGCGGAGCTGAGCGGGGTTATCGCGCTTCCCAGCAAAAGTTTGGATGGGCGAGAGCTGCGAAAAGCCACAGGATTTGGCCCGCGACGGCGCCTAGACGGGATTATTCGTGTATTCGGTAGGAGCCGCGGAGCATCCAGCCCGCGTTTATAAGCAGCGACAGCGCCAAATTTCTAATAACTTTGTAATATGCTTATTTATACCATACAAGGACTCACAAACCTCATTGTGCATAGCAGCTGGCTCATATTTCTTTACCCTTCCATTCCTCAGGCTCCTTTGCCAAGAGACGGGTACCAAACACTTCCAGGCTGCAAGGGAAACACAAAATCAGATTGCAAAGAAACGATGACAGGAAGCACGGGTAAGATACGATCTGACACGCAACGCTTTAATCTTGCAGCATCTGCTTAAAATAGCTGCACTAATGGTGTACTTAAAATATGCACGTTTTTAAATACAAGCGATTCTCTGCGAAGAATAAGTTCAATCGAATTATCTGCATGCATGAAGCTTCCTCTGCACATATTTTGTAGGATGAGTCTTTTTATACCATGAAGTGAATATTTGAACAATATTAACTGTATTTAACATATTTTAAAACCTTGTGATCTGATGTGTTGTTGAGTCTTGGGCAAATCTGCCCTGAAACTGAACAAATCAAACGAACGACAATTTTCCAATTTGCTTTTTAGTATTTTGGAAGCTTTCCTAATTTTATCCCAG